GTTTCACCGAGACGTGGAGACTGACGTTGTGGGCCTGGTTTCCTTTCGGTCAAAGGGTGTGTCCTGACGTCTCAGTTTTATCATTGTTACCTGATGTTACATCTAAAGGAGAAATTCCATTTCCCCTCGAACTCTTGCTGTCTTGTGTTTACACTGAGCATGCGTCTGTAGAGGGTGTTTCCACAATGACTACTGGTCAGTCACGCAGGTTCTAACACGGCTTCTCTTGCAGTCACCTTGGTCTACTGTGCTGAGTACATCAATGAAGTGGCCGCCATGAACTGGAGGTGAGCCGGTCGGGGCAGGTCGCTGTCCGGCTTCTGCTTTTTGGAACGAGCACCTGCATGCAGCACAGCAGCCTCCGCTCGGACAGGTTTAGGCTGGGAAGCGCTCCTCACACATTCCTCTGGCAGTGCCAGCTGAAAACTGGGTGCTGCTGGCCATGACCTCGAGGGGGAGAGAGGTCGGGGCTTTTGAAAGTGATGTTAGCGGCAGAGTAAGGAAGTGGCCTGATGGAATTGGTGCGCGTGGGCCGAGTGGAGAGCACGCTGCAGCCTCTCCCCCCTCCCGGGACCATGTCCAGTGTCGGGGCCTCAGCTCCGCCTCCACCAGATGTCAGGGTCTGACCATGTAGGACCCGAGGGCCGGTGCCGTCATCAGGGTGGGTTCTGCCTTCGTGACCTGAGGCCTCCAGAAGCCTCACACTAAGTAGAGAACGTCATTTAAAACATTGTTTCGCTACGCTAAGTGATTTTTAAATTTTTCTTGAAACAGGTCATTTTCAAAATACCAGTATTTCGATTCGAGGGGGATGTTCATTTCACTAGTGTTTTCGGCGCCGCTGCTCCTCAACGCCATGATCATCGTGGTGCGTACTTACACCTGCTGCGTCCTCGCTTTCCCTTTGTACGTGTTCCCAGTGTGAACGCTCTCCAAACTCCTGCTTTCAGATCCTGTGGGTCCGGAAGACGCTGACTGTGATGGCCGACCTCAAGGCCCTGCAGCAGAAGGTGAAGGAGCGGAGGAAGAGGAGGAAGGAGGAGTAGTGGCGCAGCGGCCGCAGCGTTCCTGGAGCTGTCCCGTCGCCGTCTTGAGAACTAAGTGCTGGCGTGGCAGGCCCGTCCCAGCAGCCACCGTCGTTTGTAAAGATGGTTTTCACCGCGACCCTGTTTTGTCTGCAGCTAATTTTGCTCAGGTTGTCTCTGCCGGTCGGTTATGTGACCTGGGTTCCTGCAGGATTACGATGTGTAATAATAATCCCCCCAAGTCATAGCGTCCAGGGTGTTACCTCGGTCATCAGTGACCGGACACACAGTGACAGGTGGGTCACGCGGCTCCGGCACGAAGCCCCAGGTGGTGGACGGAGCTGGGCCTTTCTGGAGCCGGCTCTCGGAGGAGTCACGTCGCGGGCTGGGAGCTGGTCCAGCCGAGTTGAAAGTCCCTGTCGCCACAGTGCAGTGCTGGTGGGACGAAGGCACCGGCTGGTGGGCCGGGTTCTCCTCCACAGGCCGCTGCCCGGCTTTCTCCACCGGCAGAGAGTAGCGAGGCCACGGCCACAGCTGAGGCCCCGGGGTCTTCGGGGCCTTGGAGGTCAGCACAGTGGCCCTGCACGGACCGGACACTTGGGTCCTCACAAGCCCCTGGTATGAAGCTAAGTGTCCACACGTCTCAGCCCCTCTCCACACGCTCCGGGGGGTAAGGCCCCCGCGGTGCCGTCAGCCGCTGAGCGCCTGGGTGATTATTGACAGCAGGTGCCCCTTCAGAACAGTGTCGCTCACGTCACAAACCAGCGGATTTGAAATAAAAAACCAACACAGCAGCCGCCCACGCTGTAGAACACACTCTCCCGTGTGTTCAAAACAAACACCCGCGGGCTGTGTCCTGGACTGGAGCCTCCAGTTACACTGAACAGATAGCACTGAGCTAAGCAGTTCCCAGCGTGTCCGAGTGGTGTTAACTCCATACAAAACGGTCAGGCTGATTCTCACGCCTGGGCACCGTCACGTGTCACCGCTTCCCCAGGTCCCCTGGTTCGCTCCCAGCGCGGTGCGGCCCCAGGCGTGTGACACTGGTCACTGGCGGGGTGGGCGTCCTCCATCAGCCCCCAGATGACCTGACCCAAATGACAGCAGTGCCGGGGCAGAAACCGGGAACTTGAACGGGACCCCGAAGCGAGGTCCTGACAGGACGCTACGTCTCAGCATCCTGGACCCTCCCCGCGAGGCCGGGCCCTGGGAACCCCAGGCTCTGTCCTGGGACGAAGCAGAACAGGCTCCTTCGCTGCTCCTTTTGGTTTGATTCCCGGCCAGGGCACAGGCCTGGGTCTCGGGCTCAATCCCTAGTGGGGGGCGTCCCTCCTTCTCTGAAATCAATAAAGATACATTTTAAAAAAGAACTCAGTGTATACTTGGCATGTAATATAAAGATTCATAACTTTGGAATATATTTAGTAGACATTGGTGGAACTTTGTCTCTAATTTCCTTTAGCATAACATTCAGCCTCTGTTCACACGGCACTTGCCTTTAGTGGAGCTGATGATCGGCTAGAGTTGGGCTGGTGACCAGGGACCAGGGGGAGGGACTAAGATTCCTGGTGCCTCGGGCCTTTCCTGGTCCCAGGGTTTCATCAGGGGCGAGGAGAGCCAGGTGGGAGAGGGGCTGCAAAGGGTCCTGCCCTCTCCGTCCCGTGATTCCCTGTCTACGGGCTCCAACAGGAAGCAGAACAGGCAGGGAGGTGGCGGGCCCTGTGCTGCTTGTAACTGCGATCAGAGGAGGGCGTCCTGGCTCCATCGCCATCTGTTCTGGTAGAAGCAGGAGTTTGAGGAGGGCCCCAGAACACGGGCTGTTTCTCGCGGCTCCAGCAAATGAAAGAAACACGTCTGTTGTAGGAATCCCGTCCTCGGGCACAGACCCACCCACCTCAGGCTCAGAGGCCAGACTCAAGTTTTCACAACAGCGACCAGTGAGCTGCGTAATGGGCAAAGCTAAAGAAAAAACTTATGTCATTTGGGGTTTTCCCAAGATTCAACTTCAAAAAATAAGGTGAAGGCTGGTGGGGGTCTTTGTGTCCCAATATCCCCGCTAAGAAAACCCCAGTTTCCAGGAAATGGACGGTAGGTGGCGCCCAAACTGCAGTTTCCAGCCACGTGCACGTCCAGCTGGTTTGGTTTTCACTCTCTTCAGACCTTTCCTGGCAGCATCCCCACCCTGAGGAGGCCCTGCTGTCCGAGGCCCCACCAGCCTCCCCGCCTGGTGGCCGCCCCTCCGGGAAGAGGGCTGGGACCTGCCCTGTGACGGCTCCGGGTCCCAAACCAGCGGCCCCTCCTCCCCAACGTTACGATGGCATCTTAAGGCGTTTTGTTATCATTTTGCATGAAATCCCTGTAAGGCCTGCAAAGCCCTTCCTTCCACTTGTAGAAAAGCCATCTCACAACCCAGAGCTGGGGAGACATGGCTGCAAGGCCGGAGGGGGTTCAGGTCCGCGGGCGCCCCCCTTTCCCCCCCACCTCCCGGCTCCCATGTGAGTCCCGAGTGCAAGCCCTTGGACGGCCCCACAGGCCTCGGGGTGGGAGAGACACATGCGATTTCATTAACTTCACATTAACATTGGTTATTTCAACTCTAATTTTCAGCTCATGCTAAATACAGGTCCTTTGCTGGGGCAGGTGTGGGGTGAGGTGAGGGTCTCCCATGGCAACGGGCGACTCGGATAAGCAGGCAAGTGTCTTCCCCTGAGAACATGGGCTCACCTCCAAGTACCAGGTGCGGGATGCAGCCCCCCAGGTACCAGGTGAGGGATGCAGCCCCCTGGGTACCAGGTGCGGGATGCAGCCCCCCAGGTACCAGGTGTGGGATACAGTCCCCCCGGGTACCAGGTGAAGGATGCAGCCACCCAGGTACCAGGTGAGAGATGCCACCCCCCAGGTACCAGGTGCGGGATACAGTCCCCCCGGGTACCAGGTGCGGGATGCAGCCCCCCAGGTACCAGGTGAGGGATGCAGCCCCCGGGTACCAGGTGCGGGATGCAGCCCCTCGGGTACCAGGTGCGGGATACAGTCCCCTGGGTACCAGGTGAGGGATGCAGCCCCCCGGGTACCAGGTGAGGGATGCAGCCCCCCGGGTACCAGGTGAGGGATGCAGCCCCCCGGGTACCAGGTGCGGGATGCAGCCCCCCGGGTACCAGGTGAGGGATGCAGCCCCCCGGGTACCAGGTGCGGGATGCAGCCCCCCGGGTACCAGGTGAGGGATGCAGCCCCCCGGGTACCAGGTGCGGGATGCAGCCCCCCGGGTACCAGGTGAGGGATGCAGCCCCCCGGGTACCAGGTGCGGGATGCAGCCCCCCGGGTACCAGGTGAGGGATGCAGCCCCCCGGGTACCAGGTGCGGGATGCAGCCCCCCGGGTACCAGGTGAGGGATGCAGCCCCCCGGGTACCAGGTGCGGGATGCAGCCCCCCGGGTACCAGGTGAGGGATGCAGCCCCCCGGGTACCAGGTGCGGGATGCAGCCCCCCGGGTACCAGGTGAGGGATGCAGCCCCCCGGGTACCAGGTGCGGGATGCAGCCCCCCGGGTACCAGGTGAGGGATGCAGCCCCCCGGGTACCAGGTGCGGGATGCAGCCCCCCGGGTACCAGGTGAGGGATGCAGCCCCCCGGGTACCAGGTGCGGGATGCAGCCCCCCGGGTACCAGGTGAGGGATGCAGCCCCCCGGGTACCAGGTGCGGGATGCAGCCCCCCGGGTACCAGGTGAGGGATGCAGCCCCCCGGGTACCAGGTGCGGGATGCAGCCCCCCGGGTACCAGGTGAGGGATGCAGCCCCCCGGGTACCAGGTGCGGGATGCAGCCCCCCGGGTACCAGGTGAGGGATGCAGCCCCCCGGGTACCAGGTGCGGGATGCAGCCCCCCGGGTACCAGGTGAGGGATGCAGCCCCCCGGGTACCAGGTGCGGGATCAGTCCCCCCAGGTACCAGGTGAGGGATGCAGCCCCCAGGTACCAGGTGCGGGATACAGTCCCCTCGGGTACCAGGTGCGGGATGCAGCCCCCAGGTACCAGGTGCGGGATACAGTCCCCCCGGGTACCAGGTGCGGGATGCAGCCCCCCGGGTACCAGGTGCGGGATCCAGCCCCCAGGTACTAGGTGAGGGATGCAGCCTCACAGAGAATGCAGCAGCAGCCGTTGCATCTGGAGTCCGTCTCCCGCCTGGTCCCCTGGCCCCCCAGCCCCACCGAGAGGAGCATGGAGACATGACATCAGCCTCTGACGGGCGAGCTCCTCACTCAAAAGAAAGCAAACCCACTCCCTCTGTCACGTCGCTTTAAAGCCGCGGCGGCCAAGCAGCCCGAGCATCCAGCATGTGGCACTGATCTAGGCTCTGACAGCTCCATCGCTGGCCCTGCCTCACTGGCAGCGTCTGACGACGCCCACCCCTCTGTGCAAATACGTGGACCCGTTCCAGACTCACTCCCAGGTCCTGGCCCAGAGACGCGTTGCCGCACGCCGAGCACCAGGCGCTCCGAGGACTTACTGTGCTGAGTTCCGGTTTGGGGCCGCACAGGCCCGAGGATGGAGAGCTGTAGCAAAGGGATTCCGTAGACCCAGCGAGGAAGCCGTCCGTGCTGGTCCATAGCCGGTGCCTGAAGTCCCAGGTGTCCTGGGAGCCTGCGGGGCGGAGCCGTCATCAACCGCGAGCATGGACACCGTCCAGGCTGCTGCCCTCCCCCAGCTGCAGCCCAGCGTCAGCTCCGGCTTCCGGGCGGGGTCCTGGCTGCCCTTCGCCTGTGGAGTCTCGTGGACCGTCACCGAGGAAGCTCCAAGCGGCCTCCCTCCCCGTCCCCAGCCTGGGGGCAGGGAACACACCCTCAGCGCTCAGTCCCCATTCACGCTGCCAGCTGTCACTGCTCCTGTGACCAGCATCGGCCTGTGGTCAGAAGCCTGAGCCTGGGGGTCTGCACCGGGGCACCCCGGAGGGCAGGCCCTGCAGCCCCCTGGGGACCAGGAGGAGTCGAGCGGGACTGCGGCTGCTGGGACATCCGGGGCCAGTGACATGGCTGCAGCCAAGGACGTCTTACTTGGCACCTCCTTGCCTCCCCCGAACCAACACCCATGGGAGTGCTGGCCCCTGACCAGTCACCAAGGCAGCCCTCCCTCCCGCCTCCCCCTGACCCCGAGCCCTGGGTTGCTGTGGACAGCATTGGGCTCTGGGTGCCAGGCAGCCAGGTCCCTCAGGCCTACAGCAGCGAAGGGTCATTTTGGTCACGTGAGGTTCGCAGGTCACGGTGGCTTCTCCACATCGTCATCGTCCCCATTCCTGGTCCCAGCCGGCCTGAGCCTGGCTTCCACCCACACAGAGGGAAGACCGTCTCCCATGCCCGGGACGCCCCTGGGCTGTCCCAAAACAGGCAGCACACCTGCTCCCACCACAGGGCGCCTGTCCCGCCTGGGACAGAGCCAGGGCAGCGGGCCCTGCAGCACCCTCCAGGCAGTGTGGGCACCGCCACAGCCTGTGGCCCGTCCTCATGACTCTGCAGGGTGTGGGTGGATGGGATGGGGCAAGACGGGCCGGACACGCCTGGAGCCAACCTCCCGCGGTCCGTCCCCTGCTGGCTGCGCCTGGGGCCTGAAGGGTGTCTGTGGAGTGAGCAGGGTCCCTCTGGAAGGTGGGGTCCCTCGGACTGGCCTGTGGGGATCGGGACGAAACTAGCTCCCCGACATCGCCTGAGGGGTCCTGGAATGCAAGAGGGTGATTCTCAGGTGACACACCCTGGAATAGGGCTCCCCCCTCTCTGGTTCCAGAGTGTATCACCCGAGAACCGCCGCTGCAAGTCACTGCAGCTCGGCAGCTCCTGCATTGAGCATCTGCTCCCTGGTGGTCAGTGCGTGTCATAGCTACCGGTCAGACGGTCAGACGGTAGCTTAGCCTTTTATAAATATAGATATAGATTAGATATAGATATATAGATAGATGATATAGATATAGATGATATAGATATAGATGATATAGATATAGATATAGATATAGATATAGATATAGATATAGATATGCACAGCCCATGGACATGGGCAGTGGGGGGCAGAAAGACCTGGGGGTGGGGCATGGGTGGGTAAGGGCTGGGTGGAGGGGGATGGGGGGATGATCCTGTGCCCTACACTGTACACTCACAGGGTGCACTAGCAAACGCAGGGGCGTGAGGGGGGGGGCGGTTCTCTTTCCACGAAGACAGATGTGCTTGGCCCAGAGCCCACGTTAGCAACTGCGAATGACAGCCGTATTGATTGCCGGCCGCGCGGTTTCTGAGAGCTGAGATGGCACCCGAGGTATGCGTGCCTCCAATTGACTGCAGGTGTGCTGTGCTTAGCGCATTAAAGATGCATTTCAGAGTCATTTCCAAAAGATTACCTCATTGATGTGGGCGAAAGGTTGCCAGGAAGTGCGGGCTGCGGGGGCCGGGCCCACCCGACGCTCAGGCCTCACCTGTGGCCTGTGCAGCCCCCCGAGGCGGCCCAGCTGGAATTTTGGTAAGAACATCTCTTAGCGCATCTGTAACCCCTATTTGCTGGCCCCAGGTCAGCTGCAATCCCCCTTTTAAAGATGATTTTTGCCATATTCACACGAGCAAAGATGCCGCAGTTGCAGTCCATCAGTCTGTGTGTGAGACGCACAGGCGTTCTCTTCCCTCGCTGTGCTCTGCACACGGAGAAGAACATCCCGAGTACTTACGTCTGAACTAGGTTTTGGTGTTTCTCAGGGTTACATACGCGGGCGCCCGGGAAATGCCCCTTCCTTCGCAGTTAACTCTTAGGAGGCTCCAGGAGCCTGGGCAGGTAGCTCAGGAAAGAGCAATTACTCTAAGAGACCACCAAGTCCTCTCTGTGGACATCAGCTCCCACACGTACAGGCTGCAGCTCAGAGCTGTCTTATGAGTATAAACGTCTTCATGTTTCATAATTAGGAATAAAGCAAGTTCCTTCAGGATTGAAGCCTTCACATTGTGCATCGCTCATGGCCAGTGGGACCTGCTTTGCACAGACGCCTGCAAGCCTCGGGCCTCAGGCCTCAGGAGTCGCTCTGTGGTACGTCTACTGTGGAATACGACGCTGCTGTAAAAAAGAAAGATCTCTGACCATTGCAACAGCACGGAGGGACCTGGAGAGCATCATGCTGAGAGAAATAAGCCAGTGGGAGAAAGACAAGTATCACATGACCTCACTCATATGTGGAACCTAATGAACAAAATAAACTGATGAACAAAACAGATCCAGAGGCATAGAAGCATCAAACAGACTGTTGACCCTCAGAGGGAAGGCAGGGAGGGCGGGTGGGAAGAGATCAACCCATGAACTTGTGTGCGTATATGCATCACCCACAGACACAGACACTGGGGTGGTGAGGGCCTGGTGGGGAGCGGGCTGGAGAGGTTAACGGGGTAGAAGGAGGACGAATGCAATCCTTCCAACAATAAAGATTTAAAACAAAAGCTCTCTTCCTGGGCGCTGCCTACGGAGGTGGCAGCCATCTCCTACTTGGCACCATGGCTGCCCTCAGACCCCTCGTGAAACCCAAGATTGTCAAAAAGAGGACCCAGTCAGACCGATGTGTCAAGACTAAGCAGAACTGGCGGGAACCCAGAGGCACTGACAATAGGGGGCGTAGAAGACCCAGGGGCCAGATCCTGATGCCCAACGCTGGTTATGGAGCAACAAGCAAACAGCACAGGCTGCCCAGTGGCTCCCAGAGGCGTCTGGTCCCTAACGTCAAGGAGCTTGAAGCGCTGCTGACGTGCAGTCTCTCTGTGCTGACTGCTCACAGCGTCTCCCCGAAGACCCGCAAAGCCACTGGGGGTGGGGGGAGCAGCCCAGCTGCCATCAGACCACCAACCCCAACGCCAGGCTGCGCAGCGAGAGAGTGACCAGGCAGACTGTGCGCACAGTGTATTCGTGGTAATAAAACCGTACAATTCTGAAAAATAAAGAAGTCGCCCTGACTTTCTGAGCAGTGGTTTCTCAATTGTGACGTTAACTGCAAAGCAAGGCATTGAACCGGCTGCCCTTGGTTGTAAGAGCCCATGGGACGGCCCACAGGTCTCGGCCAGGGGGCCTGGGTTGCTCTGCACACGGACCCGTGTTCTCCCCGACAGACAGAGGGAGGCTCTGCCAGGGACAGGCAGCCAGTGTGTGTGCGGGAGGGGGAAGGGGGGCGGGGGGCCAGCAAGTAAGAAACCGCAAGAAAAGACGGGGCGGGCGGGGGTGAAAATCCAGTGCTCGGAGCAGTTTTCCCCAAGTCGCCATGGAAACGGCAGATCCCCATCAGCTCATTTTAGGGACTTACCTCAAGTATCGTGAGTGTCAATCATGCTTTGACGTGTGAGGACGAAGGAACCAAGCTGGTCACCCCAGTGCTCCCCCGAGGAAAGGCTGTCGCCAACTGAGTCCGGGCGCGGCACCTGCTGGGTGTCTCCTGGGCACGGCCTCCGCTTCTCTGAATCGGGCTGAAGAGAATTTAAACTCGTTATACAAACCACACACGGAAGTAAACGCCCATCCAGCCGACCACGGAACAGACAGGTGGACGGTCACTCGTCCCCAGCCGTGCGGAATGCGGTCAGATGGCCGTGCCCAGTGCAGCCGCCGAGCCCGCAGGCACGGCCCCGCTGCCCCATCGCTGCCGCGGGCCCCAAGGCCCAGGACACGTTTCCTTAAGGCGACGGCCCCCAGTTCCGAGACCTTTAATTAATTGTTTATTTGATAATCCTCACCCGAGGATATTTTTCCATTGATTTTTAGAGAGAGTGGAAGAGAGAGGGGCAGACAGAAACACCAATGTGCGAGGGACACCTGGATTGTTTGCCTCCTGCACGCGCCCGACCAGGGCCCAGGCAGGGGAGGAGCCTGCAACTGAGGTTCGTGCCCTTGACCAGAATTGAACCCGGGACCTTTGGTCCGCAGACTGATGCTCTACCCACTGAGCACACCGGCCGGGGATCCTTCAAGGCTTTTTAATGTGTGTTTTCAAATCTAAAGGCCGTTCTTCCTTCAGTGTCTGAGCATTGGGGTCGGATGGACAGAATGGGAGCTGGAACCTTCCGTTTCGAGTCAGCTCAGATTTGAAAACGCATTATTTATCAGAGTCATTACAATATGTCTTATTGGGTTACAGCCATTTGACCTTTACAGACGAGTTGATTCATTTCTGTATAAATGAATCAGCCACAACTCAGGATTCATCTTATTACGTAACTTTGTTAAAGAATCAACTCATTTCCCCTCCTCTCGTCTCTAGTTTTTGTCTGAAACATGGAAATGAGCAATGGCGAAGTTCAGGACCAGAATGTGACTTCCATGCGTCATAGACGCCCCTCCCGATCCAACCCGGACGACATGAGCAGAGGGCACGGAGGAAACGCCGACTGAATCCTTGTCGTCGCCGCGGACACGCACAGGCCTCCAGACCCGAAGGGCTAGTGGCTGTGGCCACGGGCGCTCACAGGCGAGAGGCAAGTTCGCCGTGGTCACGGCTCAGCTGCTG